CGACCGGCTGCCCATGCTTCTGAGGATGCAGCCCAGGATACGGTTGGCTTTCTGGGCTGCCAGCGCACACTGCCGGCTCATGTCCAGCTTTTCACCTACCAGAAATCCATTCATCCACAAATCCTAAAATTGCTGGGCCATCTGAAAACAAAATAACACTTACTTGTAATTTCAGGTTTGCTCTATATTTAAGGTTAATTAGGAGAACTAAGGTTGATTATAACTTCACTGATGGCTTTATTTAAATAAATTAACGATTTAATCTGCAAATAATGGTAATTGTGTCAACAAAGCGTGGAATAAGAAAACACCTATATTTCTACGTGGTTCAGTTACCTGAAGGAAAATGAAAACTTATCTACCTTTATACAGTTTTTAAGCATGCACTTTTCTGCATTCTAATGGCCAGTACATTGTTCTTACTGAAGCACAGAATTATGGATTTACCCCTTGTCACTCACTCTTTAGATCTAAAAACCCCACACTGAGTAATGATGCATTTTCTTTCTATTCAGCATCTTCAAAATTAATCTTACTTCCTTTTGGTTCCATTTAAAAAAGGCATTCACCAGCCTTTTGTCATGTTGCTTTTGGATTCTCCTTTATTCTGGCATCTCTGGCTCAAATTCTGGTTTTGCCTTCTTTGGTTTCTTCCTTTTTTTTTATTCTCTTCTATCCAATTCTTCATTCTTCCCAAGCTATCTTTTAGGCATGGGAAAGGTATTCACGAATCTGGATTTTCTCATTTATGAACTCATCTCTTTCTTTCTACCATGCTGGAATTTGAATTTGTTTCTGATAAATCTCATAATACCTGTTACCTGACTCACTGTTGGTTTTGGTTTTTTGGCTTTTGTGGTTCTTCCCCCCCCCCCCCCTTCTTTCTTCTTTTATCCTATCTTTTTTTCAGTTTTCTCCTGGTTTTTGCCTGCAGGCTTTAAGGATGGTATATTTACTGTTTTCTACAATGTTTACTTCAATTGGGCCAAATTTGGCTGGAACTGTAGGAACTAAATGTCAACACACCTGTTAATAACATCATATGTAGTAATTCAATACATAAGCAACTTTTTACCAGGTGAAAACTATGAGATGTCAAGGATGTTAGTGTTAGAAGAAGAAACTGTTATCTCATTCTCTATGTATGTATCTTTATATATAATATTGTGTAATGTTCACACTCAAAATATTAAATGCAAAAATATTCATTTCTTAATGCTTCAGTGTAAGCTTCTTATTTTATCATCTGCTCATTGATAGCTGCAGCGGAGTTTATTAATATTTTTTTTAGAACTAGTAAGTGTCACATAGAGCCCAGATTATTTCTGTCATTCTGCTGAAATTCACAGGGTATGTACAAATATTTTTATTTCCACATGAATTTTTGAAATCCAAACTTTCTTTTTAGGATTCCAGTAATACTGAGGAAAGAATCAAGTTGCTTATTGGATCGTTGAAACATACAGTGTATGAATATGTTTGTCGTTGTTTGTTTAAGGTAAGATTATAGCTTTTATGGCTTCTATACAGTGCACTGGGTTTGAAAGTATTCTTTCAGCAACCAACACTTCACCTACTTCAAATAAGTAGTATTATGTCAGTACATATGTAAGACATGCAAAAAATTACTCTTCCAATATTTAACATGCAAAATGAGGAGCACTAAAAATTGGGATAGAACAGAATTAAGATTGATTATGCACGTTTTTCCATAGAGTAGTTTTCTAATGGACAAGTCTATTCTAAGTCTAGTTTTGTTTCTACTTTACCTCTGGCTCCTCCATTCTGCCTCATTCTGGCTCTCCTCCCTGTCTAGCAACACTATATGGAGGATGCAAAGGTAGCAGTAATTTTTAAGAAGTTTGGGTAGCAGTAATTTTTAAGAAGTTTGGTTTATCAAAGTCCGGGTGGATTCTCATGAAACATTCTCATAATAATTTAATGTCTGTGTTTGAAGTCATGAGTACGTGAAGCCTTTACGTAAGTCAGCATATCTTCTGAATATTGGAAGGCACTTTTTTTTATATATGAGAAAAGATTAAAGATTTCAAAAGCAAGGTACAGAGAGAGATTTCTAGTAGGAAGAATTTTCACTCAGATTGGAGTTAAAAGAAGTGTGTTACCGTGCAGCTTCAGACTAATGGTCCATCTGGCTTAGTATCATGTTCTCATAGTGGAAGGGACAGATAAGCTGCTCCTCACGCCATCAGTGATCCACATTTGATTCTGCCTTTTATCCATGCAAATTTTTTGTTTTACTAGTATCTTCATAAATGATACAGCTGATACAAGCTTGTATCTTTTTAAGCATGTTAGATTTGGGAAGGATGGTGGTGATTTTCTGTCTGTGGTTTATGTTTCTGTGTACATAGACTTCACGTATGCTAGTAAGTGAAGTGGTCCCAAGAAATTTTCCTGAGCACTGAAACTGGTCCGCCTGTACTGTTAATTTGTCAAAATAGTTGCTGTCACAGGTTTGTCCTGGGCCTCTTGACATTATTCCAAACAATTCCCATTCAAATTTTGGATACTGAATCATCCAGGGAGCATTCTAATAGGCAGTTTGGATTTGGATTTTCTTGCAGACCTTGTCTGAGAGGATGAAAATGTTGAGTGATGTGGACTTCAGCCATTCCATGGCAGTTGTTCTCAGTGACATATGATGTTCATGGGTGTTATTTTATTTATCAATACAAAGAGAACTTTAGTGCTTTGCACAGTTTGGCCCTGATTCCTAGTTGAGGCCTGTTTGCAGTCCAGTTCTACCCCTGTAACAAAACCAATAGTAAATACCTTCAAAAATACAATATAGTGTCCTTGGGGATACTTTATACCATATGGTTTTGTAATTGAAAGAATTAATAACATGGAACTATTTAAAGCATCAAACAACAACTTTATGTACCTGTATCCATGGAGATACAAATTATACCAAGAGCTTGTTGTGTCTGCGATCATGCACGTCTGCAGTTACCCAAATCCAGTGTAAAGCAGCCGTGGCTCATATGAACTGAGTTACGTACAGCCTCTTGGAAGTTTCCAAGGTTACTCCTTCCCAGGGGAATTTAAACTAGTAAGGATATGGTCTCTAAGACACATGTGTCCCTTCAGTCAGTCAAACGTAATTCTGGAACCTAATCACCAGGTAAATTATTAAAAAATACATCTGTATTATTTGAAGTACAGATGCAGTTGAAGTTACTTTTACTGTACATGAGCAAACTTCCCAAAGATTCTGAACATCTTGACCACTCTTACTCTATGTTTTTGTTCTGTGTTCTTACATCTGTCTGTTTCTGAGATGATGTGTCAGGCTTGTAAAAATGCATGTTTGAGGAAACACTAATCATAAAAAGAAAACAAAAATAATTTAGCCCTCTTATATAATTTTTGGCCTCAGAAGTAGAATAGACATTGAGAAAGCCAGTGTTAGTTAAACAGTTTATCTTATACCTTATAACATGTACATAATATTTCCTGGAGTGTGCTTCCTCATATTTGGTCCTGACTCTTCTGAAAACTCACACACAATTAATTTGTCAGTAGTATTCTTGGTAATTTAATATTCTTCAGAGCAGTATTTCTCTGAAGCTAAGGACAATCAATCTGACATTTTGAGGTACACATAAAGCAGATATGTGGGAAATCACACCATGGAAAAATGAAACGACATTGTCAAGACTAGATTTGATTTTTATAGGAGTGCAGGTGTGTTGTGTTTATCAGCTGGCTGGGGTGCCTGTGCCTTGCAGACTTAACCCAACCCCATGCATCATGTTTTTTAATTCTGTTCTTCCCTTTCACTTCTGCTTCATGCTTTTTTGCTATATTTCACTTCCTTGAAAGGAAAAGACTAGGCACCACCTTCCTTAGGCTTTCTGAAAATTTTAATGGAGAAAATATGTATATATCTTCCATTGTCTAGTAGAATACATCTTCCAGATTACAGCCAGACTTTGATAACTAGGAAGCCCCAGTCTATGCTTCTGAGCCGTCCTGATTTTCCTGAGCACCAGTTTCCATTTTCTCACATTGATTTCATTACATGGGAATCTGATTTGCAGCACAGCTTTCATAAAACACATCTATGAAAGTTTCTGGACATAGGAATCTGTGTTGGGTTTGTGTGGCAGGGTTTTGGTGGCAGAGGATGGACCACAGGGATGTATCCTGTGAGAAGCTGCTAGAAGCTTCCCCAGCTCCAAGTTGGACCCACCTCTGTCCATGGTCAAGCCAGCCAGTGACAGTGGAAGTGCCTCTGGGATAACACATTTAAGAGGGGAAAACAAACTGCTGGGGAACCTGTAGTGGAGAGAGACCCAACTACGCAGAACCCTGTCAGTGAGGAAAGGAGGAGAGGAGGTGGTATGGAGCAGAGGTTCCCCTGCAGCCTGTGGTGAGAGGGCAGGCTGTGTCCTGCAGCCATGGGGTGAGAGGGCTGTCTGTGTCCTGCAGCCATGGGGAGTCACAGGGGAGCAGAGACTCCCCTCTGCAGCCCGTGGAGGACCCCATGCCGGAGCATTCAGCTGTGCCCAAAGAGCCTGTGACACTATGGTAAGCCTGTGCTGGAACAGTCCACTCCTGAAGAACCACACTCCTGTGAAAGGGACCTACACTGGAGCAGTTTGTGGAAGTCTGTCACCCATGGGAAGGACCCCACGCTGGATCAGGGGCAGAGTGTGAGCATCCACCCGTGAGGAGGAAGCAGCATCAGGGACAATGTGTGATGGGCTGACCACAACCTCCGTTTCCTATTCCCCTATGCTGCTTGGTGGGGAGGGGGTAAAGAAATCAGTAGCAAAGCTGACCCTGGGAAGAAGGGAGGGATGTAGGGAAGGTGGTTTAAGGTTTGGTTTTATTTCTCATTATCCTACTCCGATTTGATTGGTAAGAAATTCAATTGATCATTTCCCCAAATCAAGTCTGTTTTGCCTGTGACCATAATGGGTGAATGATCACTCCCTGTCCTTGTCTCAACCCATCAGCCTTTACTTGTATTTTCTCCTTCCCATACCACTGGTGGGGAGAAATGAGTGAGTGGCCATGTGGTGCTGAGTTGCTGGCTGGGCTTAAACCACAAAAAAATCTTAGTTTTAAAAAGCCAATATTCCTTTAAAAAATACTGTCTTGAATGTTTGCATGGTTTATTCTTTGGCTCCAGTAAATCCCTTTTCCTGGTTTATTGCTCCAATGCTCAGAGACTGGTTGAAATTCAAGTGATGCAACAGACCTAGGAAATAGTCAGAAAGTTACAGTTGGGGTTTTTCTCAAAATTCTGTTTGAGAAATTTTCTGAGATGATTTCTAGCATTCCTATACATAGTTTAAAAAATAATGGATTCTGATTAGTATGACTGCTTTATTACAAGTACCTGTTTTGTCTTCTTCACTTGATTTTGGATGTACTTAGATACAGGGTTTGGTTTAATGTTTGTCTCTTAATGTGCAGAGGTATGTAGCAATTTTGAAGTAAGATGTGTGTCATTAAGTAAATATTATGGAATTAGAGATGTTTTAGTGAAATTTTGTTACTTAAAAAAAAAAGGCAGAAAGGTGACTTTTGATGTACATACAAATACATTTTTACTGCTTTTATTTCAGGCTGATCAGCTGATGTTTGCTCTACATTTTGTACGAGGAATGCACCCTGAGCATTTTCAAGAAAATGTAAGTGCTAGAAAAAATCCCCGAGTGATTTACTGAAACTTAGTATGGAGAATAAATAAGTAGATAAAATTTTTTGTAAGTGTAGGTCTCAAGATTTTCGTTTTATATGCTACTATTTTTCTGTGGTAGTTACTAATGGATGTCTACATTATATTTATTAGTTTAGTGAAGACTACCATGAGAAAGGTAGGTGAACCGTTGCCTTTTAAATAGGGGTCTGAAAAAGGCAGGCAGACTAGACTAGCTGGCTGAGAGGTAGATGACAAAGTTATAGTTGTCTGTAGTCTAGCAAAATTAATCTGATAAAGTCTGCCTGCAGTAGAGCAATATGCACAATTAACTCAGTATAATTGCTTAAACGTGGCTGATTCGTGTGATGGAAGACACATTTAATTATCTAAAATACCTACATTGAATGGAGAGACAAAGCTGTGGCTTTCTGTACTAGAACCTGGAGACCAGGAGGAGCATCAGATGGTAGTCAGTTTGATGGTATGTCAGTTTGCTAGAGGACAATCCATTATAGGGTAAAATGGAAAGATCAGATAATATATTTGAAGGAAGTAATGTAACTTGATTATATGAAGGATGTGGGTACAAGGTATAAAAAAGGTTGATTGAAACTTTTTGATGTTATGAATGCAAAGTAGTTTTATTCCAGGCATATCGATTGACCAGGTGAAATCCCACAGTCTTTCAGCAATGAAGCTGCCTGATAAAAATACCTCACATTAGTCTTGTTGGTAGAGGCATTCCCTGGCTACTCTTCCTTATTAAAACTTCCCTAATTCGTCTTTCTTATTTCTGGAAATGGCTTGCTCGACGTTTCTAGTCCTTAAGTTTATAAAGTCGTGAGGGCAGCAACTTGAAAATAGTTTTCCGACTAAATTAAAGCCTGCCTGCCTAGGCTTCTTACATATTTGTAAGTACTGCTTTATGTGTTGGTTGCTGTTGTTTAGCATGTGTTTCCATCAGCTACTAGAGTTCTTAATGAGAATAGAGCTTAGTGTAGGTTACATATCGAATAGAGCTTAATGTAGGTTACGTATAATGCACGTTCCTGCAGCATGTGAGTACTCAAGAATTAAAATAGGCAAATAATATCAATATTTTTCTTACTTCTCTAAAAGGCAGAAGTTATTTTAATTAAATAGTTAAGAAAAGAGTGCTTGTGGAAAATATTTATTGAGGAAAATGAAGCTGAAGTGGTTATTCTTTTAAAGTTATTTCTGTTAAAACTTTTAATGTGATGAGGCTAGAAGTTGCTTATTATGCTGCTAGAGAAATTGGTATTCACGTCCTTGTCCCAAAAGAGTTCAACATTCTGCACTTAGGATTTTTTTTCATAGTGATGAGAACTTAATAGTGCAACTTCAATCTTATACTGTAGAATGCCTTGGCTCTTACTAGGGACATTCTGTTTCTGAATCAATATGTAAAGATTTTTCTGAGGTAGTTTTACATGTCTCTGTATATTATACTTCTAAATTTCTTTATAAAAATATTATACAATTTTTGGTTTTAAAACTGGGGTGTCTTCATTTATTTTTCTGTGCACAAGCATTTTCTTTGTAACTGGGAGATGAGCATCACTGTGTAATTGAAAGAGAAAGTTATTTCAAGGCTCAGCTAGATTGATGGGTGCAAAAAGCTGTGCTGGTCTGTATCAGAGTAGGACTAGTTGATTGGTGAGGCACTGGAACAGGTTGCCCAGAGAAGCTGTGGATGCCCCATACCTGGAAGGGCTCAAGGCCAGGCTGGATGAGGCTTTGAGCAACCTGGTGTAGTGGAAGGTGTCCCTGCCCATGGCAGGGGTGTTGGAACTAGATGGTCTTTCAGGTCCCTTCCAACCCAAACCATTCTGTGATTCTATGGTTGACTTTTTCATCTGGAATGTTACTAATGTCTTTAACAAGAATAATAAAAAAAAAGAGATAATCATAGAATTAGAGATACTGATTATGTAAGATTTCAATAATTACAAAGGTTATTTTGGTATATTTCCTACCACCTCCAAATATAGGATTATGTAATATTTAGTATGTTTTTGACTGTTTATCTAATCTGTTTTAAATCAATTAAAAGCTGTCTTCCTGGGTTGAAATAGCAAATCTAAAAGATTTAGCTAACTTAACTCACATTTCCCTTTCTTAATGCAACCAAAGTATTCATAATACCAATCTATTATTTTAAGTATTCCTCCTTATCTAATAACTGCATCTTTTGGACATGGTAACATGAAACGCTGTTGAAACCTGGATTCTGTGATTATCTGTGGGCTGCTGGTACCCTATCAGGCAGTACGTGTGTCCTTGCCAGCCACGTATGTTACTTCTCACTAGTCTATATTTAGGCAATCTGGGTGGGAGCTGTGGGTGCTGAGAAAGGATAGAGCTTGTCTTTTTGTTTCTTGTTCTTATAAAGCACTGCAGTCACTGAGCTTGGATTCTGCAAAAGGAATTGCATAGTGGTAGTATTACCTAAGGTTTCAAAAATGTCGTACAGCTCTTTCAGAATCTAGGCTTTAATTTGTTTATCTTCCTCTTTTGCCTACATGCTACTACATATTAATCTCTAGTCTTAAAGATGTCTTAGGATTTATCGGTGTTGTTCATTTATTCCCCTTAGGAATGGGAGACTTTTACAGGTGTGATCATTGGAGATACAATAAGAAAATCAGTAAGCTATACTTATTTGTGTATTTTGAAATAAGGAACAATTACTTAGATACTGAAAAGTTAAAGATGTATTCTTACTATATTGTTTAATTAATTGTTTTCATACATTAAAGGGACAAATAATTTCTCATGTAGTAATTTTAAAATATAAAAACTTTTCAAATTTTATGAAAATGGCAACTCATTTTCTAATGTGCATAACTTTTTGGCTTTTTTTTTTCCTCTGCTTTTGTTACCACGATTACAATTTGTTTTTTTTAAGGGTATGTTTGAGACGGTTATAAGTGCTCTTCTGTAACTAAAATAAGTGTTTCTGAATCACTATTTCTCACAGTATCATATAGGAGTTGTACTTTCTGTATGAATTGATAGAATTGTCCGCACAGTTTGCTAGCTTGGGACATGCTTTTTTCCCAGCCTCAGAGTTCCAGATCTGGAGCTGAATTTATATATTTTCGTAGGTTACAGAGCTAGCTTAAGGAGCTTCAGTTGCATGCCTGACCAATCATGCTGTACTTTACTAAGTGTCCCTCAATTCTATTGCATCTGTATACTTTCAAAATAACCTTACAATAGAAAAGTGT